ACTTGGAAATTAGGTTTAATTATCGATTGAAAATTTCGAAAATGTTTTTGATTTGATTTTTATAGAATTATAAAACTCGAGTATTTTAATTTTTCTAATTTTTATAATAATCATATAATCTTTCTACAGATAATTTCATTGTTAATCTCATAAAATTGAATCCTAAAATGGGATTGTCACCTACCATTCTTGCATAAGCAAATCGGTTTATTACCCATAGGACACATGGAGTTATTGTCACCAAATTTGTTCGTCGCAGATTATCAGTGAAAAATCCCATTTCACCTACTACATTAAGTGGTAATATTCTCTCGATTTGTTCTGGTTTATTATTCTCTGCTGAAATTCGTGTGACACTCAATTGTCCTTCCTCCACCACATACATAAAATTTGGGTTAGATCCCTCCTCCCACAGTGTTGAATCCTTTTGTAATATTTCCTCTTTAAAGTATGGAATCAAAGAGTTAAAGAATTCCTCTTTCTCATTGGTGCTTCATTAAATGCTTTCATTAAAACATTTACAAGTCTGCTTCTGCTTTTAAGATAGAGCTCATCTAAATCAAATGTAAATTAATTAATATGTATGTATATATGTACTGATTGATTGATTAATTTACTTACTTTTATATATATACTTTCCAGCATTTTCAACTTGGTGATTACAAATAGTCTCATCATCAACTAATAAATATTAAAAAAATTTATTAATCTTATTTTAATATCTAATAAATAATTGCCAATTTAATTTTATGTATATTTTAAATTAAAGATTCTTACATTCATTATAAAGATATAAATTATTATTGTTCATGTTTAGAAATATTGTCGTTTTAACAATCAGAGGATTATTAGGGGAGAGAGTGAGATAGTCGTCTTTTTGTAGGGAAACAGTTCGGCCCAAACCGGTAAGGATCGGAGTTGGCGGAATCTCGGAGTTATAAAATCAATTTTTGTTTCTTTATTTGTATATTTTATTTATCTTGAACGTTCTAAAGAGAATACAAACTAGGGTACAAAATTTTTTCTGGATTCTTTCTAAAATGCAATAAGAAATATTTACCGGGAAAATAATAAACTTGATGGCAAGCTAAGCTAAAACTTAAAAATAAAGCAACAATTAACTCCTTTAGTCATATAGTTCACTTCCTTCGAATTTCATTTTGAAATAATTTGCCAATAAAACTTCCTGATATCTAATGTCAGATAAAAGCTCAAGCTTTAGCTCATCAAATGATAGAAAAGAAGCAAAAGGCTCGATCAATCTATTGCATTGATGGAAAGATAAAAAAGCTAAATGTTCAATTCTATCCATCTTCATCAGTGCCTAGTGAGATGCTTTTTTCTAATCAATCACATTACTCCAAAAGAAATAAAGTTGTAGGAAAAATTTTTTTTTTTTTAAAAGAAATATGACATTATTAGATAATGTTTAACAAGTATGGCCGCTGGTGAAGCCCTAACCTTTAATGTTAATAAGTCTGACGCGTTATGCCTAGCGAGCTTCTGC